TTTTTTTTTTGTTTTTTTTTGTATATTTTGGGTGTGAAAATACTTTGAATTCTTTTTGGACATGTATTGGTATGAAATAAATTTTTCGATTATTTATTATTTTTTTTTATTATCTACAAATTATATAAAATATGTACTTAGTTACATTAAATGAGATTTTTATCAATGAGGATTTCTTCTACAGTCTTATATAAGTGATAGACTTTCAACATTATCGATTATTATAACAAGTGTTAGTTTAATAATAATAATAATATACCCTGTATTATTTGTTTGAAATGAATTTATATTAAAAGGTAAATGTTGTAGATTTTTTTTGTCTATTGAGTGGTGAATTGCAATTTGCGTAGATATCTATCTTATATTTGAAGAATTCGTATGTTGGGAAATGGAACAACATATGTAAGTGAACAACATTGTTTTCAATTAGATCCTCATCAGGCTTTATTCTAATATACAGTAATATTTATATGCAAATACGAAATTATCAAATCAGTCAATGTAGATAACCTCTGTCTATTGTTCTCGACCTAACTTATGGGGATTCCTCAACTAAAGGATAAGTTACCTGGTCCGGTCATATCTATGTGTATCTACGAATTTAGCTGCTCCTGTGAAGAAAGCTAGATTAGGCGCATGATCAGATAACTGAGCCAACCATTTAGTGAACACTTTCTTTTGTGGTTAGGAAAAGGTATCGCCAAAATAATATGCAGCTCCGTTCTATCACACTGGAACGATAGCGGTCATGTACTAGATAGAAATAGGTCGTTTAATGTGATTTATCTTATTTCTATTAGTTTACCTTACGGGGTTCAATCTTGTCTCTTACACAATATAAGAATTTGAACTAACAATCCAAGTCTTTGTGTTCATAAGAAATCTTTATCTCTATCCAAACTGGCCTAAATAAAAGATTTTATTTATTATAATTTTCCATACTCTTTGTTATTTTATTGTTCATCAACTCCCTTCACTGTTCAATTATGTGAACAGTTCTTATTACGTAATCTCATGGTTTTTATAAATGTTATTTCAACATCTATATTTTTCAAGTCATTGACCTGTTTTCCATTATAAAACATTGATTTAGGCCTTTGTTACTATCAACAAAACTACTGCATCTCTCATCACACTATCAATTTTTACTTTCTACTTATTATGTTTATTTATTTAATCTATTCCACTGTTATCACTGATTTCCAAACTGCCTTGATTGGTTCAATAATTTCGTATACGCATATAATTATCTCATTTCCAATATTTGAAGGTGTGTATCAAAACAAACAATCAATTAATAAGAATATATACTGACATTATTTCCCTTTTCTTTTAGAAACATCTATGTTGAGTATACTTGACTATAAAAATTCAAACAGATGTCTCTCTTATAACCATACTATCTTATTGCTAAAACTTTAATTCAATCATAAGGGTTTAAGTTACTGATTGAAAAACGATCAACAAAATGATCTTCTTGTAAAGCAAGACAATATGTTGTTTCCGCTTTTTCAAATGTAATAAAATACTCATTTTAGAAGCATAATAAGATTAGCTTTAGACTTTCTTAAATACATTTCATCATACTCGTTACTGTGTTTACACCTAATGAAATTTATCTGTTGTCACAGACTCAATTAGCAGATGTGCATTCACAGGCTATGAGACTGTATAAAGAGAGGAACCATTTAAATTGTTTTTAAGAATTGCTTCTGACTAAAACATATGCAGAATGTTTAGCATTATACTATAGGTAAGGGGTTGGTAACTGTATTGAAACCACTCCATAAAAGATTAGTCTCAATCGGATACCTGATTTGCATACCTTCGACAATCCACACAATCTTGATAGATAAATTATCACCTCTTTAATCATTTCGTACAAACTTGATGAAATTATCTGCTAGTCCCTGAGCTTCTTCAAAGATTTGGTTAGTTCACTGTCTTATTGTTAAGGTCTTTCTGGTCAGTTATTTTTTGGAATTTTAATTTTTCATTTAAGATGGTACCCGTTTTATCAATATAAGCGTTTTTATTAGGAAAAACTAACCATTTGTCAGGTTTCTCAATCAATAAAGTTTAATCTTTTATGAGTATGTTAATAGCTACCTTGTACTTCATTGTAAGAATGCTTTTGAAATTAAATTTATTGTTCTTATGCTGGTAACAACAAATCACAAAATTTGACCTTGAATTTTCTAGTTGTTGACTAGAATTCGCAACTGCATTCCGTGTCTGACTATATAGTTTTTCGAACTGTATATTTACATCCATGTGATTAGAATGATTACGAGTGTCACAAAATTTCAGACCTAAGGATAACACCTCTAATTTTTCATTATCTAGTTCAACGCTTGAGAAATTATTGACACACATTTTGGGATTGCCTGGAAATTTGCTTTCAACCGTCTGATTTTCCAGATCTTTCAGTAACTGGATTCGTTATAGTGCCAGTATAACCCAACCTTTCCCAATTATTTATCGAGTCTGTAATATTCTGCTACAGTCTGTCGGACTCAAAATCCTTCGAAATACAGAAACAACAGACATTTGTATTAAAAAGCGGAGTTAGATGTGCGAAAGAAGTATCTTCAACCACTTCTCTTGCTTTGGCCAATCTCAGGACCATAATTGTAGGAACTGAAGAGTAATTTTCGAAAAGAATATTCTTAATTGATATAATTGTTTTAATTTGTTATTTATTTTTATTTGAAGAATTGGCTTACGCTAAGTCATCGAAAGTCATAAATCTAGTTTTCTACCCATTGAAACTTTAAAAATGTATTATATCTATTATGAATTCTTTCTTCCATTGGGTTGTTGTCACTTATTTACAGCCTCTAATATTTCGAAATCATAATCGTAAAATGGGCTGAAATTAAGAGGATTATGGAAATGAGCCTAGTTGGAAATTGGTTTAAACATACATTAGTACAGTACAGTTGGGATGCGAATAAATTTAAGAGGCTTAATGAAATATTATCAATATATGTCTTACGTAAAAGAATATCCTATATTATTAGTAGTAACAAAAGAGAAAAGAGCTAAAAATAAGTGGCTAGGCAATGAACAAACTCAGATTATAAATAAGAATAGAATGAGTAAAATCCAGCTAGTTAAACTAAAATTATTATTCGAGAAAAGAATCAAAAATAGTCGCAATGATCCAATCAATAGGAAGAAAGAGCTAAACATAATTTTATGTTCTAAGGGAGAAGTGCATGTATCACGAAAGCAGAAAAAGACTAACAGCTGTCTCGTTTTAAACACATGAATCAGGTTTCTGATGCTTGATAGTAATGGTTTCAATAAACTTCAGAACATTGGAGCTTGGTTGTTTGTCGATTACCTTGTAAGATTTTAGGGTGAGAAATTATTGTATGGGGTTCAGGAATTGTCTAAAGATTGCGTTGCTTTAAGTCCTTCTCCCATTTAATCGAAGGCTTTTTGAGACATGATCAAGAAATCAAAAATATCCCTTCCTTTTTATTCGGTCGATGTAGGATTTTTGCAAGGTATGTGTAAATTCACGGACTTTTGAACGCATCATGAAAGTGGTATGACGAGGGAACTCAAAGTATTCAACGTACTTTATGTAAACTACTGTCTTGAATATTACTTTTCTTTATTGGTTTTTGATATATTTGTTTTACCTAGGCTTTGACCTTGATCTGCTCATAATTTTATCCCTGAACATTTGCTTTTTATTTTGCCTATGGTTTAGGGATTTGAGTTTTGACTACTGAAATCTAAATTTTGAAATTTTTTTATAATTATTGAGTAGAATAGTTACTAGTATTTCATAATATGCGATCTCGTACCTTGGGATTTTGATTTTCTCTTTATTTGGTTGAAAGTTGCGAAATAATCAGTTTATCTTACATCCGAATGGCTCGATTAAGAACATTAAATACTTGTTGACGGGTTAAATTATTAAATATGTTGTTTGATACATGGATTATGAATTCATGTTACTCTGCTCAAATCTTTGTTCGTTTCATATATTTACCATCTTCTAAGGAAGTTTGAAGTAATTCTCTGTAAAATTATGGTTGAACAGCCTATAAAATAATCCTCGATATACCTGATTACTTAAATTATCTAACCTAGGATTATAAAAAACAGACTAATTGGCTAGTAAAAAGTTGTAAAAAAAACTCAAATACGACTCATATAATAAGTAAACAAAGGACATCATGATGCGAGCCGTTGTTTGCCTGTGTAATTTAAAGTGATAAGTTCTATGCAATTTAGCGAAAACCACTTAAACAATTCTCTCACGAAGTATGAAGTGATTAAATATTTTGTTAATTTTCTATGATAAGCTGGATAAATTAGTGTCACAGTTTGAATATTTTAAAGTTCATGCAGTAATTAAGACTAACTTTCAAATAAAAACGATGAGTATCATGCAAACGACAGATGAGTATTACAGCTCAATAACCCACTGCATAATATTATAACGTTCGAAGAAACGAATTTAGTCATGGATATGTGAATCCTGACACATATGGTGAAGACATTTGTAATTAACGAGTCCCAAATAAAATAAAACCTTCAGCATATATTATACTGCTGGCCACTAGTAGACATTGTTAAAATCTCTTAAATCGAATTTCTGTAAGAAAACCCATTTCATCGGCTTGAAAACATAAACATAACAGATATATACGGTGGTTGTATGCATTCATATATTACTTACTTACTTACGCCTGTTACTCCCAATGGAGCATAGACCGCTGACCAGCATTCTCCAACCCACTCTATCCTGGGCCTTCTTTTCTAGTTCCATCCAATTCTTGTTCATTTTTCTCATGTCTATCTCCGTTTCCCGGCGTAATGTGTTCTTTGGTCTTCCTCTTTTCCTTTGACCTTCAGGATTCCATGTGAGGGCTTGTCTTGTGACACAGTTGGGTGCTTTCCTCGATGTGTGTCCTATCCACTTCCAGCGCTTCTTCCTGATTTCTTCCTCCGCTGGGATCTGGTTTGTTCTCCCCCACAGTACGTTGTTGCTAATAGTGTCCGGCCAATGGATCTGAAGTATTTTGCGTAGACAATTGTTAATAAACACCTGTATTTTCTGGATGATGGCTTTTGTAGTTCTCCAGGTTTCTGCCCCATACAGTAGAACTGTCTTGACATTTGTATTGAAAATCTTGACCTTGGTGCTTTGAGCTCCGGATGTTCTTCAGTTGTAGATATGCTGCTCTTGCCTTTCCGATTCGCACCTTCACATCTGCATCAGATCCACCGTGTTCATCAATGATGCTGCCCAAATACGTAAAGGTTTTTACATCTTCCAAATCGTCTCCGTCAATTGTGATTGGATTGGTGCATTCTGTGTTGTATCGGAGAATCCTGCTTTTCCCTTTGTTTATATTGAGGCCTATTGCTGCTGAGGCTGCTGCAAAAAACATGCATTCATATATACTTATCTAGAAGTCATCCTCATAACATTTATACAGAGCAAACAAACGGACTGTTTATCATAGGTTAATATAGCAACCCTTTAAAGTATTATTTCCTGTTGCAATTTATTCAGAATATAGGTTGAACATAGCTTGTTAATTATTCATTTCCGGGTCTCAACATGATGTATAAGAATGGCATACAGTATCAATTTTGCTCAGTTATATCTAAAGAGTCATTAAAAAAATAAATCAATTTGCTAACTGACTTCCTGAACGGGATCTACTATTAACTTCTAGATTCAGTTGTCGATTATATTGAGCGTCGATATACACGTACAATTATATATATATATATATATATATATATATATATATATATATATATATATATATATATATATATATATATATATATATATATAAAGTTACTACTTCCATACTAAGTCATTATGCATGAAGTTACTTGAGTTTCATTAAACATTAGGCAATGCGGTTAAGATCCATGGTGATTTACGGTTTAGCACATGTTACAAAAATATTTCTAATGCTGATGAAATATTTACTAATGGGAAACAAGTTTCAAAGAATTAACGATATAAAATCTGAGCATCAAACTTTTCTCAACGACATAATCAGCATTATTTTCAATATGAATTGTAAAGCAATATTGCAATGTGAAAGAATTCACTTCACATTGGATATTGTGAATTCACTTTTACATACATGGATCCAATAAATTAGTGCAAACACTTAAATTATCAATTTTAATTGTGAATGAAATTATTGAAATGTGTTTGCGCACAAAAAAGGATCATTTGAGTCGTGTTTAAACGTGTATTATAACAATCACTTTCAGTAAGTGGATAATTATCAGAATAGTGAAAAACATTAGTTCTTAGTTTTCATGAGACCAGAAATACTAACGAAACGAAACGAAAATTTAGAGAAACTCACAATGCATATATAATAGATATGTTCTTCAACTGATTAGCTTGCAAAATAATTCCCTACTGACTTGTAGATACTGACAGAAGTATATCTTTTAAATTTAAGCCAATGAACTCGGAATATTTTTATTTGAGTTAACCACCTGATAGCAAGCAGTAAAATTTACAGATATGGAATATTTTAATGGTCATTTGTGTGTGTTATTTTTAATAACACGAATCATAACCAGAGCACATGTAGTTATCATTTGTCTCTGGTTCATTTTCATATGCAAAACACCATGACAAGATATTATAATTGTAGCAGTGACAACTAGAAAATTGAGGAAAACTCAATATTTAGAATTACACCTTAACTTTTAGCCGATCATCCACTAGTTGTGATTCCTTATATGGATATTTTAACCTAAGAAATAAACTAGGTATTGTGGCTTTTATTTATTCATGCTTCTGAGGTAAAGTTATTGGGAAATCATCAACATCACTTTTTTGACCTCTTCTCTTATTCCTTCCCTATACTCACTTCCTATTTTTAACCACTTATATTCTAAGGTCATATAGACAATTTTAATGAGTTATTTATGCTTGCATGTTATTTTTCTGACTATCTTAACAATAAAAGCTCTGTCGTAAAATTGTTTCACTCGATTTTGCTTGTTGTGTTATATCGTTTTTTAATAGTGGTTCGATATTTCAAATTAATTTGCATCTATCTACATACTAGTAGTGTCATCTTACCATATTATTTTTTGTAGTAAGCATAACATTTTGGACTGACCCCGATCATAACGTAAACCCAAAAAGATTTAATTCCCTGTGGTGTTTGAATGAACTAGTGGTTCCTTTGTACTTGTTGAATGCTTGATTTCGAATTTAAAAAAAACAGTACATTTGTTAGTGCTTATCTAGTACTTCTTGATCCGATTACGCTATCTCTGGGATTCTTAGTTTGTACTATAATTCAAATACTCGTAATCATCATATTCACTCAAAAGTTTCATAGTTTATGAATGAAGTGTTTCATGTAATTAGTTCCATTTATGAAGTTAAATAAAGCCAGAACGAACGTCGATGCAGAATAATATGAATTTTATTAATATTTCGTGGTTTCTCGTCAGCTGCTTACAACCAAATATATAACAGAATTTAACATTGGGGTAAGAAATCGTATGAAGCAATTGACATAATTGGATGTAAAGAATTGGAATGACTAAGGTTATCAATAATAACTATATATATGCGAGAACAGGTCAGAGGTTATTTGGTGTTAGAATCAAGGAAACATTTAAGGATGGGTGGTGTAATGGTCGAGTGAAGTTCAGAGAAAGATAAATTGTGTGATAATTTTAAAGGCAATGAAGGAATCGTGGAATTAAGAACTGATAAGATGGGTTAAGTAATAATTGAATAAAATTTGAAAAGTCCACATAATTAAGAGGATCAAGTGAGCGGAAATGTGTGAGTGAAAGGGTGGATTAAGGATTACATAAGGGGAGAGGAATATAATATAAACTAAGCTATTTGCACTGGTGGAGTTTAAGAAGGTTTAACCATAGTTCAGGAATCTGAATACGCTAATCAATTCACAGAATTTTCGGAATAGCCTACTGTAGTACTTCACAGATTAGTTGGGTTTTAACAAACTGTCATCACATCTTCATTATCGATATTCATCAATAAAAATCAATATGACTAATTATTAAAACTCTAAACTAAGCATCATTTGTTATGCTTTTTATTTTACTGTATTGATTTGAACAAAATGTATCAATACTTCCATGTAACAATTATCACTAACAGTGCACTTAATGTTCAATGATTGTCATCTAAGTGAACCATTATATATATATCAGTCATGTGACATCGTCTCTTTTATGAAACAAATAAACTGTTGGTTGTTATACTCTAACACTATTGATTTTTGTTACTAATGTTTTAGATGTAACTCAAATCGATACAACATTTTCTAGTTCTTTGACCTTTAGTTTGAACCGTGTATATATTTTTCATCGATGAATTATCCAATAAAATATGAGCGGTATTTATTAAGTAAATATGAGAACGATTAGTATGCATACACAATTCTTGAAATAATTATATCATATGTAAAACAGTCCCATTTCTAGATACATTCACATTATACAAGTGAATGCCAACGACATGTAAATGCTAAAACTTATTAAAAGTAAACAATAATAAATCATGTTAATCTATAAATCAGATTGATTTGCATATCATTAGGAAAAATAAGCGAAAAATTTTCATTTTTATAGTTGTTTTGTTTTCTGTATTGGAACTAATTATAGTTTGAGTCTTAAAAGGAATGTGAATATTCTTAAGTTGGTCTTACTAAAATAAAGAGTTAATAATAGTCAGATATAATATTTATTCTAATTTGCTCATTCAATTGTGATAAGTTACATTTGAGCATTGAATCTATCTAAATTAAATGATACAGTCGATTTAATAATTCATAAGTATCTAATTCAACCGACTAATGATTTCTTGGTTATTTCAAGTCAGTGAACGATTAGTTTAGAATCTTATATTCGCATAGATTCGTATTACATCACTATCGAAGTTATCAATAAATACAACTTTTAGACAGAAAAAAAATCAGATGATCCAAATTAGTTGACTTTTCTTAAGAGCAATATTTTAAACCTGTCAACTTTTCACAGTACTTAATAACCAACTAGCCTGCATCAATAAACTTGATGTATTCACCTTAAGTGAATACTAGTGAGAAATGTGTCATTTATTTATATGAAATTCAAATGGGGTTTACATCATTCAAGCTTCACGAATTGAATGTAGTTTATATTGTCAATTTTTGGTATTTCTCCAGTAAATAGAGTTAATAAATACTTCGAATGAAATAAAAGTGGTACATTTTGAACTACATCAATTTTATAACTGCTGAAGCAAATTATTTTGATCAAGCGATTAGATAAGTCTCTTGATAATTCTAAGTTGTAACTGTACAACATTCATATTTCAATAATTTATGTTCAATAGAACTCTGTTATAACATATAACAATACTTTATTAAGGGTTGCTGGATAAAAGTTCAAATAAACCGTTCATAATATTCGATCCAACATTTAATGATAGCACAAAATTTCACTAGAATGAACTAATGAATGAAAACTTCTATAGTAGATTAAGTTTAGTAGATAAACATCGGTATCTAACTTAGTTCATAGCTAATCAATGTGATGTGTTAAAGAATTCCAATTACCTTTATCCCATAGATTTGACTTTTGATATTTGCACCAAATTCTGGCTAAGATTACCTTATTGTCTTTAAACATGTGAACTAAGTATTTAGTTAATGTTACGCTTATTTTATTTTATTTTTTTTTGCAAAATTATCCCAAAAATTGGTAGTTCGCTTGAATTTAAATCCAATCAAAAACTATGTATTTCAACTTTTATTAATTCATATTAACTTTATTCACTATTGATGTTAGACTCCTATGTAAAGAAAATTATATTCAGACATTCATTTCCAATTGTTTCACTGTCTATGTACATTAAGAAGCAAAAACAAAAAGAATATTTTGAAAGCTTTGATATTCTATTTGAATTGATTACGTCTTTAATAGTTAAATATTCGTAAATAATTGTGGGAATTTTTGTTTACTTTCAGTTACTACTTAATTAAACTCTTTTTAGTTTAAATATAAACTCATTGATAAACGGATTAGAATTTGTAATTTTTTATTAAATTTTCGGTTATACTACAAAAATTATTATTATTATTAGCAAAGATGGATAGTAGGTAGCAGTGCATTCCAAGACGCGCATTTCCTCCTATTTGGGACTCGTTACCTAGACGTACTTGCATCTCAGAGTTGATGTTCACTCTGGGACTCGAACCCAGTACCGTTCTCTTCATACGCCATCGCGTTATCCACTTAGCTAATGAATCCTGACAGCCACTTGCTTGTGCAATGGGATGAATTTTAAATTCACTTGGTATTATTTACTTGGAAAGATTCAGGTAAACAATACCAAGTGAATCTATTATTATTAGTATTATTATTGGAACAATTGAATTCCATTTAAAGTTCAAAGATTGGTATTTCGTGAATTGTTTGCTCATTAAAAAAAGGAAATCAAATTTCATTCGTTCACTACTGTTATTTGCCGAGTTGACAATTAATGATTTACTGCAGTTAATTACTAGGAATAGTATGATGAATTGATTTGTACAAAATAAAATTTATCCTAGGTGATTAGCAATATTGAGCTGTATAAAAATCGCTTACAATCTTCACAGAAAAAATCTTGTTAATTATTAGCTTAGCATTTCT